TATTTATTTATTTGCGGTACGCGGGCCTCTCACTGTTGTGGCCTCTCCCATTGCGGAGCACAGGCTCCGGACGCGCAGGCTCAGCGGCCATGGCTCACGGGCCCAGCCGCTCCGCGACATGTGGGATCTTCCCGGACCGGGGCACGAACCCGTGTCCCCTGCATCGGCAGGTGGACTCTCAACCACTGCGCCACCAGGGAAGCCCCCGTTGCTGTCTCTTGATCTCTCTCTGTTCCCATGTCCTCCACTCTCCATCACTTGGAGGCAGCATGAGTCACCACCCAGAATCCCTGATGGGCGGGCTGCTCAGCTCTGCTAAACCAGGACAGCTGTGGCCACTGGGATGCAGACGGACCCGCTGCTGACCATTGGGTGGGTCTGCTCAGGCCTGAGGCTGCTGATGGAGCTCTGCCTGGCTCCTGATCCCCACTCCTTGCTCACTGCACCAAGTGGGGCATTTTCTAGAGCAGGTCAAGAGGTCGGCCCCTCCCTGGCTGCACCCCCTCCCCTGAGACCCCTCCTCTCCCTTCTCCCTTCTCCTTCCTGGAGGAGGGGGTACCTGTGCGCCCGCAGCCTGGGCCTGATGTCTGCAGGGCTTGGGAGGTGTGTGTGCTGTATGTGTGTGGGTCTTCTCAACACTTGCCTGGTGTGTCCCCCTAAGGGGTCAGGGCTGACTCAGTGGCCTGGGGCCACTCAGTTGGCTGCAGCCGGACTTGAGTTTAGATGTTGCCCAAGATCGTCACCACAGCTTGAACGTGCCTGTGTCTCTTGTCTCTGAGTGCCTGCTCCGTGGCTCTCCCTGTGTAGACTGTCCTCCCTCCTCCCAAGTCCAACCCAAATGCTCTTCTCTGAACCCCTCCCCCACCTCCCATTAGAAGCACTTCCTCCTCCCGGGCGGCTTGAGTCCTCTCTGTCCTTGTAACCTGTCCCGTGGGGTTACAGTTCCTGCCCGAGCCTGGCTGCCGCGTGGCTCACAGCTCCTTGAGGGTAGAGACCACTTTCCCCAGTTCGGAACCCCACGCTGGCCCCTGGCTTCCCTGCCTGGCCTCCCACTGTAGGCTCTCATGATGTGTTGGATTAAATAGGACTGAATGCAGACCAGCCCCTGCTCCACACACAGCAGAGGGGGCTCCCTTTTCTCCTTGCTGGGCACACTGTGTACCTTTGGGTGGGAGACAGAGGCCTTTTTAGCCAGCCTGGCTATTGAGAAAATGTGCTAACACAAGGCAAAATGCAGATGCTGAGATTGGGCAACAGCCTCACCCTTAGGGCTCAGAGGCAGTCAGCCCGAAGCAAGCAGGGAGGGGCGAGGGGCTGAGTCAGGAGGGGCAGTTAATGGAGTAATAGAGGGCGGACTGTGTTTGGTCCAACATCTGGCTTTAATGGAGTTTCAGGCAGTGATGAGATTGCGATGTGCGCTTAGGAACTTTGGGGCTCCTTTGACTTAAACTGCAAAAGCAGCCCCCTATTTCACCCACACCTGAAGCCTGTTGGCCCCGGAGCCTGGTTTTCTGCCCCTTACTGGCCACAGGTGGGAAGCATTGAATGGGGACTTCCTCTGTCTCTGAGCAGACTTGACCGCAGACTTTGAAGGACGGAAAACAAGTCTTGGGGGTGGCCATTGTGAGGTCAACCAGGCCAGCCCTCGGCTGCGGCCTTGCCTCCCAGGGGTCGGGGCTGAGCACTCGACAGTTCATTTGTCCCGCCTACCAGCAGGATCTCTGGCTTCTCACAGCATCCTTGGGAAGTAATTATTATGAGGCCCATGATGGGAAGCATCAACTATGGGAGAGGGAAGAGTTGGGACCAAAACTTCAGCCTCAGCACCTGCTGCCTCCCCTGCCTTCTCCTGGGCCACGGTGAGGCTGCGCTGTGGGTGTGGGGCTGACTCAGGCAGGGCAGGTGGGCGGTGGGCGGGCGTTGCAGCTGTGGCTGGCGGGCGTGGCCTGCCTGGCGTCAAGGGCAGGTGACCCAGCAAGTTCTGCCTCTGACGCCTCATTCCAGCCATCCCTCTGTCTCTGACGAGAGCCTCTCACCACCTCAGCTATAATCCTACTGGGGGGCCTTGGGCCCCGGACATGCGGTGATCTGAGAACAACCACTGCCACCTGGACATCACCAGGTGAGTCTTGCCGAACAGGTGGCCAGTGCCCTCCAAGGCCCCAGGGTGCCCAGAGCGAGGACCTCAGGTGTCCCTTTGCCAATTGGCCTCAGGGGAGGGCTGGGAGGGAGCTTGGGTCTCTAGCAGGGAAAACAAAGCTGAACGTGAGCTGTTGGTCACAGGGAGTGTGTGAGAGCACAGGATATGATGGATGTGGGAAATTTTCCCCTCCCTGAGGTTTGGGGATACTGGGGTGGGAGGACAGTCATAGCTGCCCAGGGCAGAGGTGAGGCTCCTGTCACCCCCGCAGGCCCCAGGGACGTGGCTCTCCAGGGCAGCAGTGTGATGGGAGCTCAGGATGGGATGAGATGGCCCCAGAGCTTGAGAGGGACAGGGCC